CTTCAGCCTGCGCAGGTTACCATCCCTCGCTGCGTTGAACACCCGTTCTTAAACTCCATGTTTGCAGTGACCAAAACACTGGAGAGTGAACGAGACTCAAGAACACATCTCCCCCCGACACACTCCAACAGCTGACTGCTGAGCTGAGCAGTGAGCAGCCACCAGCCAGCCACCCGCCAGCCAGCCGCAGCCAGCCAGCCACCAGCCCGCCAGCCGCAGCCAGCCAGTCACAGCCAGCCAGCCCCAGCCAGCAGCCACCAGCCAGCCAGCCGTAGCCAGCCAGCCACCAGCCAGCCAAGCCGCAGCCAGCCAGTCACAGCCAGCCAGCCGCCCGCCAGCCAGTCACAGCCAGCCAGGGCCCCAGCCAGCCAGTCACAGTCAGCCAGCCGCAGCCAGCCAGTCACAGCCAGCCGCAGCCAGCCCGTCACAGCCAGCCAGCCGCAGCCAGCCAGTCACAGCCAGCCAGCCGCAGCCAGCCAGTCACAGCCAGCCAGCCGCAGCCAGCCAGTCACAGCCCGCCAGTCACAGCCAGCCAGCCACAGCCAGCCAGCCGCAGCCAGCCAGCCGCAGCCAGTCACAGCCAGCCGCAGCCAGCCAGCCGCAGCAGTCACAGCCAGCCGCAGCCAGCCAGTCACAACAGCCAGCCACAGCCAGCCATCACAGCCAGCTAGCCACAGCCAGCCAGCCACAGCCAGCCAGCCGCAGCCAACCAGCCAGCCCAGCCAACCAGCCGCTCCAGCCACTCAGCCAGCCAGCTTCCCAGCCTCGCCGCCAGGTGCACACCACAACCTCCACACACCAACAGAATAATTGCTTTTTATTTAGTAAGTTAATTCAAGTGCAGGTACAAATAAGTACAATTTATCATATAGGTTTAACATTTATAATCGCCCTCCAGGATAACCCCCAAAAAAGTCAGGTAAATCCGCAAGAATCATATAACACCGGGAAATAAGAGGTAATCAAGTTCGACCCAAGAGACTAAGTTTATTTAGGCACAGATAAACCTAAGTACAATTATCAGACTGCAAATTACCTAAGATAATTAAAAAAAAAGTCACAGTGACTTATTTGCATTGGGCTCCTCGTATCATATTAAAAACAGCTAAGTCCTAGCATGAACCTGTATATTATGCAAGGAAATAAATTTTTGATTTTGAATGAAGCTACAGGAAAGGACCCTCAAGGAAGGTTCCTTGATGTTGGTGAGGGGCTCTTGATTTAGGGAATTGGATCTGTGCTCCAGTTCCCGACCCCTCCAGGAAGGTTCCTTGATGTTGGTGAGGGGCTCTTGATTTAGGGAATTGGATCTGTGCTCCAGTTCCCCGAATTAAGCCTGAATGCCTTCCACATCCCCCCCAGGCGCTGTATAATCCTCGGGTTTAGCGCTTCCCCCTTGATTATAATAATAATAATAATACAGGAAAGGAGAAAAGTAATTTTTTGTATAGCTAACATTCGTGTACTTATTATTGTAAACTAATCTTGATAAAGTAACTCAATTTACTCTTATTCTTATTATATCTTCTTTTATTGTAATCGATTTTCTCAAAGTTGAGTAACTTTACTTAGTAAGTTTATTTAGGTATACACAAATACATTTATCATATATTTACCATACATTTACCATACATTTATCATACATTTATCATACATTTATCATACATTTATCATATATATATCTTATATTTATCATACATTTATCATACATTTATCATACATTTATCATACATTTATCATATATTTATCATATATTTATCATACATTTATCATACATTTATCATACATTTATCATATATTTATCATATATTTATCATAGCAGCGTAGAGAGCCTAAGATAACCCAAAACAGTCATAGTGACTTATTTTAAGTAAACTGTGAAAATCAGTTACAGTAAAAGAAGATATAATAAGAATAAAGTAAACTGAGTTACTTTATCAAGATTAGTTTACAATAATAAGTTCACGAATGTTAGCTATACAAGAAATTACTTTTCTTCTTTTCTGTAGCTTCATTCAAAATCAAAAATTTATTTCTTTGCATAATCTAGCGGACTCCTGCTGGGACTTGGACACGTACAGGCACTTCCCTGCCACTTCTTTAATGAGGTACAATAAAAGACATTTGAATAATAATAATAATCATGGGGGAGCGTTAAACCCGTAGGATTATACAGCGCACGTGGGGGGAGGATGGAAGGTATTCAGACTCAATTCAGGGAACAGGAGCACAGATCCAATTCCCTAGATCAAGAGCCCCTCACCAGCGTCAAGGAACCTTCCTGGAGGGACGCCTGACCACCTACTGTAGGTACCTACAAAATTGTATTCACGTTTCCAAGTGTCATTCAAATTCAAATTTATTTATTTCTTTGCAAGTAGTACATTGAGATTAAGTACTTACAACAATGGGTTGCAATACAGAGAGCCTATATTATGGCTAGACATTATGGGCCGACTTAATTTATTGGCTTACTGACTACTTAACACAAGAAATTTATCATAGTTGTACAGTAGTTCTATTAATTATAAGTGAACCTAATTTATATAAATCAGAGGATATATTCATATATTCAAAAAAGCTGGTTTTGGTTCCCAGTCTTGACAAACTTGGCATCAAGATATTCTGGACACAACTTGTGACCATTTTTTATAAACGTGATTTAATTTCAGTTACTTGACTGTCTTCAACATTCAGCATATCCAGTCGTAGTTCATCCTGACCTACATGTGCTAAACTGGACACAGGTCCAGGATGAATCACACCATTTTGTTCCGGGTGATTTGTGGTCTCTCTTTTTTTTTTTTGTTGTTAAATCAAAGTACCATGAGGAGTAAGAATAATGTATATGACATTTTACAAGAGTTAGACATAGGGTTCAGGGAGCCTCAGTAGGTAGACACTGTGCCTGTCTGTAGAGGAACTTTAGTCTGGCATTCACTTATTTTTACTACATTGTTCTCTGTCAGTTCTCCTGACATGCTCGAGTCAAAGAGGAACGAGAGTCTCTCACCAACATCATGGCACCTCTCTCGAGGATAATGATAATAATTAAATTATAAGTAATAATAGTAGTAATACCTGGAGTTTACCTCGAGATAGTTCCGGGGGTCAACGCCCCCGCGGCCCAGTCTGTGATCAGGCCTCATTGTGGATCAGGGCCTGATCAGCCAGGCTGTTGCTGCTGGCTGCACGTAATCCAACGCACGAACCACAGCCCGGCTGGTCAGGTACCGACTTTAGGTGCTTGTCCAGTGCCTGCTTGACAACCAGGGGTCTACTGGTAATCTCCCTTATGTATGCTGGGAGGCAGTTGAACAGTCTTGGGCCCCTGACACTTATTGTGTTGTCTCTTAACGTGCTAGTGACACCCCTGCTTTTCACTGGGGGGATGTTGCATCGTCTGTCGAGTCTTTTGATTTCGTGGTGAGTGATTTTCGTGTGCAAGTTTGGTACTAGTCCCTCTAGGATTTTCCAGGTGTATATAATCATGCATCTCTGCTGCCTGCATTCCAGGGAGTACAGGTTCAGGAACTTCAAGTGCTCTCAGTAATTGAGGTGTTTTATCTCCGTTATGCGTGCCATGAAGGTTCTCTGTACATTTTCTAGGTCAGCAGTTTCACCTGCCTTGAAAGGTGCTGTTAGTGTGCAGCAATATTCCAGCCTAGATAGAACAAGCGACCTGAAGAGTGTCATCATGGGCTTGGCATTCCTAGTTTTGAAGGTTCTTATTATCTAGAAGAAGAAGAGAATGAAAAAAAATGGAGAAGAAAATGAAGAAAAAAAAAAATAAAATAAAGCTCTAAAGTCGAACGGGCCATACTGCGCTACAGGTAGGGATGCCTGCACGGAGACATGTCCAAGGTGATGAGGGAATTTTCCCTCGAGGGAGGTTCCTTGATGCTGAAAAAAAACTCGTGATTTAAAGAATTGAACCATGCTCCAATTCCTTGAATCGAGTCTGAATGCCTTACATTCCCTAGGTGCTGTACGACCCCAGCGAGTTCGCTGCTAACCCCATGAATTATGAGGGAGTGAGGAATAAGAGGCAGGTAGAAGATAATGAGTCGAAGGTTTCAACAAGGAGGTCAGGCGGAGTTAGGGGGGCGGAGGCGAGAAGAAAACTAAGATTATATTCATAAGGAAGCACTGAACCCAACGCCTTGCGAATGAAGAGTAATTAGATCTGATTTGAGGAATTAAAGGACAGTTTCAGTTACTGGAATCATAAATTCTTCACCGGCAGCAAACAACTGTGTTGAGATAATGCTGTATAGTAGACTATGCCAAATAATCTAGTGTTCGTTTTATGTACATGCAAGCAGTCTGACCAGCATGCAAACGGATCGAACCGCTTGCATGCAGTATAAACCCCATACGGGGCCCAAACTGTTCACAAGCAGGTGATGAAACTGCATACCCATGACTCAAACTGTGCATACACTCGTCTAATCTCAAGATTAATGGATTGAACACATCGACTTCAGACTGAGGGACTGACTGCCCCAAAACTCCTCATTTTCCACTGTTCTTCTCTGTTTTAACTGAAGGAACCACTGGCTACAGAAACGTTTCAACAATATTCTCAAATGTTGCACAAGCATCATTCTGCATATTGCAGCCTTCTCAATATCAGTTGGAGATATCAGTGAAAAATAATTAAAAGCCTAGCAAACGTTAACTTTTTATCCAGTTGGGAAAACCCAAATTAGTTGTATTAATCTAACTTTGATGAGTTGATCACTGATCTGATTATAACCATAACTAAGCCCTAAACCCATAAGGGTCATACAGTGCTGATCGCGGATCCGAGCTTGCTTAGTCTTTATCACATAGGGAATTTTTTTTTTTTAAATCTTATCAACATTTTGGGTATTAAAGTTGAAGAGCCACATGATATATTTTTATCTAACAGTCGTAGAATTACATTATGCATAGCTATTAAGCATCAAAAGAGCGAGTGATAATGTCAGAGGATTCGCCTCAAAGCCCACAACACGTATCTACGCATGCTAGAATAATGATAGGATGGATAATGAGACCTTCAAAACTAGTACGCCAAGCTATAATGATTCTCTTCAAATATGTTCTTTAGGTGGAATATACTGTGCACTAACTGTCCCTCAAGAGGGAAAATTGCTGACCGGA